TAAAGCCTTAATGTTTTCATTTCCCAATTTGGAAGTAACAAATAGATTCAAGAGGTTAGATCAGATATACAGAGTGCCTGAAGAACTATGGTTCATAGCATTGTACAGGAGGAGGTAATATAAATCATCCCCAAGAAAAAGAAATGAAAAAAGGCAAAGTGGTTGTCTGAAGAGGCCTTAAATATGGCTGAGAAAGGAAGGGAAATAAAAGGCAAAGGAGGAAAGGAAAGATATAACCATCTGAATGCAGAGTTCCAAAGAATAGAAAGGAGAGATAAGAAAGCCTTCCTAAGAGATCAATGCAAAGAAACAGAAGAATGGGAAAGACCTCTTCAAGATATCTTCAGGAAAATTAGAGCTATCCAGGGAACATTTCATGCAAAGAAGGGCATAAAAAAGGACAGAAATGGTGAGGACCTGAGACACAGGAAATATTAAGAAGAGTTGGCAAGAATACACAGAAGAACTATACAAAAAAGATCTTAATCACCTAGGTAACCATGATGATGTGATCACTAACCTTGAGTCAGACATCCTGGAGTGGAAGTCAAGTGGGCTTTAGGAAGCATTACTATGAACAAAGCTAGTGGAGGTGATGAAATTATAGCTGACCTTTCAGATACTAAACGATGATGCTGTGAAAATGCTGCCCTCAATATGCCAGCAAATTTGGAAAACACAACAGTGAACCATAGGACTGGAAAATGTCAGTTTTCATTTCAATCCCAAAGAAGGGCAATGCCAAAGAATGTTCAAAGTACTGCACAATTGCACTCCTTTTGCAGGCTAGCAAAGTAATTTTCAAAATTTTCCAAGCTAGGCTTTAATTGTACATGAACCAAGAACTTCCAGTAGTTCAAGCTGGATTCAGAAAAAGCAGAAGAACCAGAGATCAAATTGCCAACATCTGTTGGATCATAGAAAAAGAAAGAGAATCCCAGAAAAATATCTACTTCTGTTTCATTGACTGTGTGCATCACAACAAACTGTGGAAAATTCTTTAAGAGATGGGAATACCAGACCACCTTACCTGCCTCGTGAGAAACCTGTATGCAGGTCAGGAAGCAACAGTTAGAACCAGATATTGAACAATGGACTGGTTCAAAACTGGGAAAGGAGTATGTCAAGGCTGCATATTGTCCTCCTGTTTATTTAATATATGCAGAGTATATCATGGGAAACACCAGGCTGAATGAAGCACAAGCTGGAATCAAGATTTCAGGGAGAAATGCCAATAAACTCAGATATGGAGATACCACCCTTATGGCAAAAAAACAAAGAGGAGCTAAAAAGCCTTTTGTTGAAAGTATAAGAGGAGAGTGAAAAAGCTGGCTTAAAACTTGACATTCAAAAAATGAAGAGCATGGCATCTGGTCCCATCCCTTCATGGCAAATAGATGGGGAAACAATGAAAAGAGTAACATATTTTATTTTCTTGGGCTCCAAAATTACTGTGGATGATTACTGCAGTCTTGAAACTAAAAGAAGATTGCTCCTTGGAAGAAAGGCTGTGACACACCTAGACAGCATATTAAAAAGCAGAGACATTACTTTGCCAACAAAGGTCCGTCTAGTGAAAGGCATGGTTTTTCCACTAGTCATGGATGGATATGAGAGTTGGACCATAAAGAAGGCTGAGTGCAAAGAATTGATGCTTTGAACTGTGGTGCTGCAGAAGACTCTTGAAAATCCCTTAGTCTTCAAGGAGATCAAATCAGTCAACCCTATAGGAGATCAGTCCCAAATATTCATTGGAAGGACTGATGCTGAAGCTGAAGCTCCAATACTTTGACCACCTGATGCGAAGAGCCAATTCATTAGAAAAGACTCTGATGCTAGGAAAGATTGAAGGCAGGAGGAGAAGGCAATGACAAAGTATGAGACAGTTGGATGGCATCACCAACTCAATGGACATGAATTTGAGCAAGCTTTGGCAGATGGTGTAGGACAGGGAAGCCTGGCATGATGCAGTCTATGGGGTCATGAAGAGTCAGACATGACTGAGCTACTGAACAATAACAACAACAAATTTTTCCATTTTTCCAGAATGTTATATAGTTGCAATCATACCACATAAGATTTTCAGACTGTTTTTTTTTTTTCCAGTTAGTAATATACCTTGAAGATACTTCCTTTATTTCATGGCTTATTGGATCATTTCTTTTCATTGTTGAATAATATTCAAGTGTATCGATATATCACACTTTATCTGTTTATCTACTAAAAGACATCTTGATTAACTATTGATGATTATGAAAAAAAATTGCTCTAAATATTCCCATGCAGTGTTTTGTTTATTTTTTTTTAATGTCAGTAGGATAAATTCTGGGAAGCACTATTACCAGATTATGTGGTAAAACTAGAATTAGTTTTGGAGGAAACTGTCAAATTCTCTTCCACAGTCATTTGTTTTTACATTCCCACCAGCAATGAATGAAGCTTCCTGTATTTTACAGTAATTTCAATTTTAACCACTTTAGTATGCAGTACTATCACATGGTTGTTTTAATTACTACATTTTAAAAGTATGCGTTAGTTATTCTTTCCCTAATTTCCTCACAAATTTATTTTTAATCCCTACAATTGGATTTTTTTAATCCATTATCAATCTTTCTTAGTATAGTTGATAAAGCAGCATGTTTATATGTGTGAGGGATAAAAAGACTAAAGATAAATGGGGTGATTTTTTTTTTTAAATCACAAACATTAGGAGCATGAAAGGCAATCATCCTCATTAAGAAAAGCAAAAATAATGATCAGTGTTTACTGCATTTATCATATTTGCTCTTTCAAATCTTATAAGAAAAGCCATTATACCACCTCACTTTTCACAAAGGAGGAAATTGGGCCTTAGTTACATAGAAAATGGACAGAAGTTCACATGATCTTTAAAAATGGACCCCAAATTGATGCTCAGTTCTCAGGATCATCCCCCACCTCTTCTGACTTATTGTTTTCTCGTACCTCACTATCTTCTGTGTTGGAAATTCTTCCTCCTAATGCCTAGCATGTGGTACTTTCCAAGCCCAGTTGGACAAGATTGAAGATGAACCTTCCAGAAAGAAAGCTTCAAAAAGGCTGCCTTTGGTAACAACTAAAACTCCCACTAAAATAAACGGAAGCAAGTCCACTTTCTTGATTGGTTAGTCAGTCCAATCTACAGGGTCCAACATAAATTTTTCCATTTGGTTAAAAATTTTGTTTACCACTCAGTTCCTTTCTCCAGTACAATAGGAGATGTGATTCTGTTTACAATCATCAGTGTCTCTTAGAAGTAGAATATTACTGAACCCAGTTAGGTTTTGAGAGCACAGAATCTGGCATAGCCTATTACAGAGAAGGTTTAAGGGGCTTGAGATTTGGTCCAGGTTTTTACAGCTGAGTCTATAATTTAGTCTAAACACATTCTCTTTAGGGACCCAACATCCTAAAAAGAAATTATCTAAGTCATTTCCCAAGGAAATTTTTTTTGTTCCAACTTTCAAATGGAAAGCTAATCATTTTCTTCCCAATTTGTAATGTTATACAATGTAAAACTTAGTACCATAGATGAGGAAAAATAGGCTGTTCACCACTTATTTGGAATAAAAATATTCATACCACTATAATATCTAGAGCAGGATTCCAGAAATTTAAAAATTCTGATGGATTGGAGAAAAAACTGAAAAGTGATTACAGAATTTACAAACTCATAAAGCACTCTTTTCTCTCCTATCTATTACTGTGCCTTCTGATATGATTATTTACCATATAATATATATAATATTATAGAATCCTTGCCCAAAAGAGTATTAGTCTCTATTTCTGCAAAAACATGTGATTCATTTTTTTTCCAGCCCCAAATTTAGATAAAGGAGGAATATTTTCAGTTGTTACTCAAAGAAAAGATATTTAACTTTTCTAAATCCTGGTGTGAGTTTATGTACGTATTTCCTTTGAAGTTTTATGATGCTATAGCTTCTTTTAAATGTCTGCACCTCTAACCTTTTCATAAACTCTGTCTATGACTCATTTAAATAATGTAATCAAAATTGCCATTCTTATGAGGTTCCTGAGAGTGGATAGAAATTGTAATATTAATCAGACATTTTGGGGCCCTTATATACATAAATTGCACTCATAGAATTGATATAAGGGAAGAATTAGAATGGGTGGCCACAAGGAAGAAATACTGTTGTTTATGAAACCAAGCAGGACTCTGTGGGGACTTCCTTGGTACAAACGCCCCTCTGTGTGCCTTTTTTCATTTCTAGAAAAAGACTCTAGTCTTCTAGGCTTTCCCTGAGTTTCAAAGAGCAGACTCAGTTGCTAATTAGAGAAGTGAGAGAATTCAGAAACAAATGAAAGACAGACAAGAAAGAAAACTAAAGACAGTGTAAACACTAGTTCAACAACAAAACGAACTCACAGAACCACCAGTTCTTTCTCAAGTACTTATAAAGACCCCTGCCAAGGTAAAGAATGGTAATTACATGCTAACATTAAGTGCGTGTGTCCTAGACTGGTTGTAACCAGAGGGCTGGTGATCAAGATTCCTGAAACATCACCCCGTTACCTCACGATGGTGAGGTAACAAATCAGAAGAATGTCCATGAGCTAATCAGGTACCCTGTAATCATCAACCCTAATGTTGCCTTTAAAAACCCTTGCCTAAAAACCATCAGGGAGTTGTTTTTCTTTTTCTTTTTTTTTTGAGCACTAGCTGTCCACTCTTCTTACTTGATGCCCTTCAGTAAATGCTGTACTTTCCTTCACCACAACCTGGTGTCAGTAGATTGGCTTGTTGCACAGTGGGCAAGTAGATGTGAGTTAGTTTGGTAACATTTATAACACTCTGGCATTATTCATGCATGGATGTTTCAGCAGTTCCACCTTTTTGATAAAAGTATGGCTGATGTACTTTTTGACATAACTGAGATTGGTGGTTGCTGCAAGCATTATCTATATTATCCGTGGCAAAACCGCATACACTCCTGAGCAGACATGGAGGATTTAGACTGTCAGAATTCTTCCCTTGTCACACCATGGGTCCCTCGACATCTTGCCAAAACCCTCTTAAAGGCCTCAGCCACATCCCTGTTTCTCAAACTGTAAATGAGAGGGTTTAACAAGGGGGTGATGATAGTGTAAAAGACAGAAAAGACCTTGTCTTTAGTTGGAGTGTGGTATGATTGGGGAAGCATATATGTGTACAGGGCAGCCCCATAGAATAAGATCACCACCATCATGTGTGAGGAGCAGGTGGCAAAAGCCTTCTTCTTCCCTTCTGCTGACTTCATCTGGTGCACTGTGATGAGCACTCCAGTGTAGGAAGCAATCACTACAGAGAAGGGGATCAGCAGCATCATGACACAGCAAATATACATCACCATTTCATAGGCAGCTTTGTCACCACAGGCCAGCCTCAGCATGGTGGGTGCCTCGCAGAAGAAGTGATTGATCTTGTGTGAAGCACAGAATGGTAGACTCATGGTGATAGGGGTGAGGAGGAAGCTATCCAAAGCACCACCAAACCAAGAGCTGGCCAAGATCATCCAACAGACCCGATGGCTCATGAGGACAGGATAGCGGAGAGGGTTGCAGATGGCCACATAGCGGTCATATGCCATGAGTCCCAGCAGGAAAAATTCAGCCCCTACAAAGCCCATATAGAGAAAGTACTGGGCTGTACAGGCAATAAAGGATATGGTCCCCTCACCCTCAAGATAATCGGCCAGCATCTTGGGCACAATGGTGGAGATGTACATAATGTCAATGAAAGAGAGGTGGCTGAGCAGGAAGTACATGGGAGTATGGAGGTGAGGGTCTATGTAGATCAGAAAGATCATGACCCCATTAGCTATCATGGCCATGAAGAAGATGGCACAAATGATGCCGAAAAGAAAGCCAGAGGCTTTGTTGTTAGTGAAGAGCCCTGTAAGGGTGAAGTCACTGGAAAAGGTCTTATTATTTCCATTCATGGTTTTGAGTTGGACCTGGAGGCATAAGAAGAGAAATATGGGGTTGATGAAAATTGCAGTAGATAAGATGAACCATTAAAGATGCCTATGTAAGTATGATTAAATTAAAATTATTTATACACTAATGTCAATTGTTTTATGTGGGGCAGATTCGGGGTTTCTTCTGTCTTGGAAATTTCTTCTTGTTGAAGAGCAATTCTAATGTTAGGTCCCATGGCATGAAGACAAATGATCCTTTGGAAATTAATCCTAGACTTGAGGGAGTTTGTTATTTTAGAATATGGGCTATAGATAAGATCTTCTCCTGGAGTTGGCTCCACTTGTTTGAAATATGGATACAACTGAAAAATGATTGAGTCAATTGATTCAGTTCAAATAAACATACAGTTCAGTAAGAGGTTTCATTTATATGAGAATTTTTGTGACAACTTTAAAGCCAATCAGTGTCATCAAAAAAAGCCATTAAGTTGTAGCTATGACTGTAGATTTTGAAGTATTGAGCTGGATCACAGCATTGTTCATGTGACCATTGAATGATAGTCTTTTGCTTTTCCATTCATTTGTTGATTCCTCAGCCATTCATACACCAACCTTTATTCATGGAGAATAACTTTTGCAGTGTTCTAAGCTCTAGGGAAATTGTTGTTAACAAAAGAGGAATGTCTCATGTGACTTATGGCTCTAATTGTGACAGAAAGAGAGTAAACCAAAGGAAAATGATGGTGCTAGATAATGAGAAATGCTTCATTAACATGGATAAAATAGGATAACAAATGAGAGGCATGTGAAGATTTGAGGGAAAGTTGTTCCTGCAGAATAAATAGCAAATTTAAGAGTCCTAAAGCAGAAAGGAGTTTGTTATGTTCAGGACAGTTCATGCAGAGCATTGCATCATGCATGATTCAGGTAGTAAGGTGTTTGAAGTAAGATTCTTAGGTTGTTTGGACCAAGGTAAAGAGGTCAAAAGCTTTTTCTAAATATCTGTAGAACTGAGGTGCAGTTTCCATTTGTAATCATTTGTATAACATTTAAACATATGTTCATTCTGATTATTTTTGTTTGTTTCCCTTTTGTGAAGTTGAGCCTGTTATTTTTTCCCCCTTGATTCTGCAATTTTGTGGACCTTGAAGGCTTTACTAGAGGAGAATCTCCATCCAAGTTAGTTTGGGGCAGTCCAGGTTATGTCTTCTGTGTCTGGGTCTCCTCTAGTTGAGCATGTGTCCTGACTCCTTTCACTATCAAGAGCATTCTGATTTGGTCAGTCATACTCCTTAGCGATGATACCTGAAAGAAGTGTCTGAAGAACCATGCAGAGTAGAGGACAAGTAGAGGAAATCCCAAGCAAAAGGAAATCCACACTCTGGGTGGTACATTTACTTTCTGTATATATAATGAAAAGAAGAAAATTCTTTTAAAAAATTCCTCATTAGCTTTACCATTCTTTAAACATCAAAAATAATTTTTGAAATATTTGGAATAATATTAAGCCCTGTGCAATGTTATACTACAAAAAAGGGCAAATGATGTGATCATAAATGGACAGGTTTAGCAGTCAGTTTCCTCACCTAGGAATGATATTTTGGAGTAAGAGGTCTCTATGATTCCTTAATCTATGATTAAAGGTGATCCTTTCTTAAGCATACAAGGTGTTTTCCTCTGTATCTTCATCTGCTCTGTAGTGAAAGAAACAAGACAGTTTTCAAGGACTACATCACTTAGTACAATCAGTTTCTTAGTTTGGTAACTAGAATGTGTTATGTGCTTAATAAAAGCTATTGTCAATACTATTAGATACATACATACTGTCAATAATATATAAATCCAAAAGGAAGATATTCTGAAATATGTTAATAGAAATATATACTAATATATATCTCAATATTATATAGATGACAGAAAGTTGCAAAATAAGAATAGAAAAGAAACTACAAGCTATTACTTATAGTGAACACTGAATTCACCTTAAATAAACATGTTTAAAAAGAATGTAAATATGATTGAAAACTTGAATAGAATTCAAAATAATGTTTAACATCAAAGTAATATTACAAAGTCTGAAAGTATTATGCAAAAAATATATATAAAACATACTTAATTTACATAGAATAAAATTATGAAGTACCCAAAAGTAGCTTGCATTCATTCATTCATTCAAATACTTATTGTGAACTACTGATCTAAGAGCTGATGATACATCAGCAGTGCTCCCTCTCCTTTGGAACATATATTCAAGTTGAAGGAGCCATTGATAAATAAATAAATATAAAATTATCAAGAGTCCTGCACTTTCTCCCTCAGTAAATGAGCCAGAGATGATAGATTTTCACTCATGATTGGCACAAAAAAGAACTATAAGGACAAGAACATTTCTGAAAAGCACTAACAGAATCAGTACTAGTATTAAAACAAAGGAATATGTGTGTGTTCTAAAACACTGAAAATTATGAAATAAAAACACATAATATAAAAGTGCAGGAAGTAAAGGCATATACCACTATAGGATAGAAAACAGTTATTTTAATAACAACATCATGGAGGATAAACTCTTTTAAAAAGGAGTTTCACTTTTTAAGAAAACAAATCAGAAAAAGTTAAAAACAAAATAATGATAGACAATAGATGCAAAAAAGAAGTGACAAATATATAGAGACATCGTACTTAATGAAATAAATCAGACAGATAAAGATGGATATCACATGATACTGCTTATATGTGGAACCTATATAAAGGGAATAAATGAATTTACCTATGAAACAAAAATAGAGTTATAGATATAGAAAACAAACTTATGGCTGTCAGGGGGTAAGTGGGAGGGATAAACTTGGAGATTTGGATTGACATATATTCACTACTATATATAAATAGACAACTATTAAGAACATACTGAATAGCACAGGGAACTCTATTCAACACTCTACAATAGTCTATGTGGGGAAAAAAATCTGGAAAAAAAAAGTGGATACATGTATTTGTATAACTGATTCATCTGAAACTAACATGTTGCTGACCTTGTAAATCAACTATACACCGATAAAATTTTTAAAAAGACAGAGTGACTTAGATGGAGAATATACTAAAGACAAGTTTAGTAACTACAATTGGCCATCATGTGGTTAATTATTCTTAAGTAAAAATAAAAGGACAAAACCTCTAAAAAGAATGTAATTTATATCAATATTATAAATGGAAAAAAAGATAATTCTTCCATTCATTTTAAATAGAGGTGCTTTATCAGAATGTAAGCTATTTTACATACACTGGATAAACAAAAAGTCCTAGTGTATAGTAGAGGGAACTATATTCAATATCCTATGATAAAACATAATGGAAAAGAATATTGAGCAAAGAATGTAACTGAATCATCTTGATGCATAGCAGAAATTAAAACAACTCTGTAAATCAACTATATTTCAACAAAAAAAGAGGAAAAAAAAATTAGGTGCTTTATATGCTCAATATGCTCAATTTGTTTTCAAGGGACTATGTCAAGGTAAAGTATGTTGAACTTTGAAATAATAACAGGTTTATATATAATTTAAAATATTTGAACATATGGCTCAAAAACTATTCAGGGCAAAAAGTTCAAAGCTCAAAGATGTACTTAAATGAAACATAATACACATGGAAGCCTTTAGGACATAGCCAAAGAGACAATATTTTATAGTACTTAATGCATATTTTATAAAAATATGTGGGGTAAACAAAGGTTTAAGCCAATTAGTTAGAAATAAATCCACAAAATAAATTTAAATAAGAGGAGAGAATTTAAAACTTCAAAGTAGGTATTAATGGCTTCTAAAATATGTACACTGATTATATAAAGAACTGATTCTTTGAAATTGAAACAAAATAAACCAACTTTTGGCTATACTAATGAGAGCTGAAAGGAAAAAGCACAAAATTTTATTAAGAATAAGAAAAATAATCTAACCACACATATGAGAAAAGTGAAATATGTAATTGAAGAAAGTAGGGAAAACCACTAGACCATTCAGGTACTACCTAAATCAAATTCTTTATGATTATACAGTGGAAGTGAGAAATAGATTTAAGGGACTAGATCTGATAGACAAAGTGCCTGATGAACTATGGACAGAGGTTCATGACATTGTACAGGAGACAGGGACCAAGACCATCTCCAAGAAAAAGAAATCCAAAAAAGCAAAATGGCTGTCTGAGGAGGCCTTTACAAATAGCTGTGAAAAGAAGAGAAGTGAAAAGCAAAGGAGAAAAGGAAAGATACACCCATTTGAATGAAGAGTTCCACAGAATAGTAAGGAGAGATAAGAAAGCCTTCCTCAGTAATCAATGCAAACAAATAGAGGAAAACAATAGAATGGGAAAGACTAGAGATCTCTCAAGAAAATTAGAGATACCAAGGGACTATTTCATGCAAAGATGGGCTCAATAAAGGACAGAAATGGTATGGACCTAAGAGAATCAGAAGATATTAAGAAGAGATGGCAAGAATACAGAGAAGAACTATACAGCAAAGATCTTCAAGATCCAGATAATCACAATGGCATGATCACTCACCTAGAGCAAGACATCCTGGAATGTGAAGTCAAGTGGGCCTTAGGAAGCATCACTATGAACAAAGAGAGTGGAGGTGATGGAATTCCAGTTGAGCTATTTCAAATCCTGAAAGATGATGCTGTGAAAGTGCTGCATGAAATATGCCAGCAAATTTGGAAAACTCAGCAGTGGCCACGGGACAGGAAAAGATCAGTTTTCATTTCAATCCCAAAGAAAGGCAATGCCAAAGAATGCTCAAACTGCCACACAATTGCACTTATCTCACATTCTAGTAAAATAATTCTAGTAAAAAAATTCTCTGAGCCAGGCTTCAGCAATACATGAACCATGAACTTCCAGATGTTCAAACTGGTTTTAGAAAAGGCAGAGGAACCAGAGATCAAATTGGCAACATCTGATGGATCATCAAAAAAGCAAGATAGTTCCAGAAAAACATCTATGTCTGCTTCCTTGACTACATCAAA